ACAGAGATTTCCACCATGAACGAGAATCTGCCAGAAAACCCAGAAAATTTACCGATAAGAAGCTTGGATTTCAAATCATTTCCTATTTCTAATAAGAGAGATGGTACTTTGTCTCTGAAGGGGGAACAATGTTCTATTTACCGTAGGGAAGTTCTAAAGTCTCAAACTAATACAAGCTTTAGAAATCATATTGTTTCTCCCGGGGAGACTGAGATTAATTTGCAGTCTGAAGGATTTTTACCTCCTCACCTATTGATGAATTCTTCCAATGCTATTGAAAAGAACAAATTAACTGTTTCGGCATCTGTGTGGAGGGACGTAAATTCAACTTCTGACATGGTGCCATTTGCATGTAACAAAGCTAAATCTTCAATGCCCTCCTTCACACGTGGTCAGCATGAAATATTTCAATCAAGCGTAGCATCTAGGGAACATTTCACAAGTACTGATTATCAGAGCTATTCTTCTCTTTTAATTCGTGAGAAAAGAATAAGTAATCTGTTAGACCCCCGAACACCTGGGTTTTCAAGATCGATGTCAAGTGGTCCTGATCATGTACAACATGATCCCTCAGTTAGCCGTGATGGTGGCCTGAATTTTGTTAGTGATCATCATTGGAAGATGCGACGTTACACTGGTGCTGCAAGGTTTTCAAGCTTGACCAGCCCTTTTGAATCAAGTAAAATAGATAAATTTTGTCATGGAAGCTCTCCTGCACTTCAAATGCCCAGCTCTGTTCATCATGCAAAGACTACGAAGCTATTCACCCCCATAGACTCAGGAGAAGAGTTATCAAGAGGCCATCCCAAAATCTGTCAGTCAACTCAGCATTTTCCAATGTCAGGAAATAGTGATATTATCTTGTCTGAAAAAGGGGAATTCTTCGGAGAGTCAGTAATTACCAACAAATTCAAACGAAATGCTTTCAGTGAGATGCCTTATTTCTCCCCATCCACTGATGAGAGCGCTCTGGGAAGTGTAAAGCTGAAAACACTAGGGAGCTCTATGAATAGGGAAGGAAGGAAAAGCGTCCAAGATCTAGAAAGTATGACAACCCTGCAGAATGAATCTTCTGCCGAAACTGATACCATGGACATAAATGCTTTACAGGAGGATCGACATCCTGGTAAATTTTCATCCTTTTAAATGAGATGCTGAAATATGCTATACTTTAGGTTTCATGCTACAAATAATTTTGCGTTGTACTGAACGTTACAATGAATTAAAGTTTTCTAGATAATATTGTGAATGTCGCCTGAATGGCTGCTTCCTTTATATCATGATTTTGGGCTGAAGGTTCTTTTTCCTTTTGGCAGGTCATGTTACATTGTCATCAAGCAAGGTGATTTCTGTAATTCTTAATCTTGAGGGTGCCCTTTTATTCACTTTTCAAACATCTCTTTTTTTCTTAAGCACTCTGGGTAATTAACATCTTTACTGGTTTTTGAAGATTATAGAAATATATTTATGTTCTCTTTGCATTTTGTAACAAGTGCTTAAATTTAATTATGTGATGATATTTTTTCAATTTTTAATTTTCAATTTGGTACTTATGTGTTTTTTTAAATTAAATCTTTAATTTTTTTTTTCCGGTTAACATCATTAATTTTTGCGTAGAGACTAAAAATGCTAATAGATAGAATAAAGTTACAATAAAATTAAATGATTTAATTAAGGAAAAATAAAAATTGAGAGAAAGTACAAGTACTTCCAATATAGTTTTCCCTTTTTTATACAAAATTTGTGTAATGGCTGAGTGCCTTTGCTGTTCTCGATTCTTAAAGAATTGGGTGGCAGAAAATATTTGATTGGACTGTTTGTGGGGGCCCATTTTGCAGGGGCATTATCTGATAATACTGTTTTAAATTTCAAGTTGCTAATCTGGTCGCCATAATCAAATTATGAATTTTGTAGTGCCCCAAGGAGAGCCAAAACTTGTTAACTTGTCCAGGTGCAGTAACTTTTGCTAGAGAGGGGACGAAAGCAGAATCAGCAAGTGTTGCGATACGTGATGCAAACCAAGAGCCTCTTAAGCTTCGCACTCTGACAGGTCCAGTGGATGAGAGGGAGACTAGCACGTCCAAAACCCAGAGTCTGGATGTGGAACGCCTCCTTTCCAATGCAACAGAGCATGGAAATTCCAAATCCACTACCTTTGGCAATGGTTCTTTTGGAGCAGAACCAAGCAATAGATGGTTAAAGAGACTCAAACTCTCTACATCCGATTCTGCTCTTGGTACCAAGAGTGAAAATTTTGGGGAAACTTCTTCCCATGAAAATTTACATCTGCTTTTCAGCAAAATTATGAAAGGCAGAAAAACGAGTTTGGAACCCAGACCACTGTCTCTAACTGGGGGGCCGAAGGTACCGGATCTACCTGCAACAGTATCATCAAATAGCAGGTCCTCTTTCATCAAAGCAAATCAAACCTGGAGGCTTCACTTTCTCATCCCTGGATTCAGAGATGGAGTCATAATCCTGTTGCTTCTTCGCCTACAAAGCGTGACATGATGGACCCTGTGATGGAAGGGCTTCAAAAGAAGCAGTTTCCAAGCGTTGCTGCTATGGCACTGATGGGAAAAGCAATGGCCAGTTTGCGTCCATGCGAGTTTACGAAAAAGGGACCCCTCGTAGTTTGGAATACGGAGAAATTATGAAATTGTTGTCTTTGTAATTCAAATTTAGGATAATTATGCTGTAAGACCACAGGATAACTTATTGTGTGAAGAATTTACTGAGGAATCCATGGGACGAGGTTGCTGCTTTAGTGGCTATTTCCCAAGACGTTGAGGAGTGAGAAATGCTCAGGCTACTTCCCAAGATCGTTCTGGCAAGAGACGCATTCCATGCGGAGACTGAATGTTTTGTGTTTGTTGAAGAAGCAAGTTTCTGGAAGTTGAAGCTCAATGTATCTCCGAAACTAAATGGAAGGAACACCTGGCGGATTTTGTTTTGGTAAGCCTTCAGTTTATTTCATTCGTCAAAAGATGTTTTTTAATCCATTATATTCTGTGATCTGGAGCAATTAAAACGATATATAAACACTGCTTGCACCAAAAGATAGCATGTGTAGTTGGGGGGGAAAAAAACAGAGAGCATGTGTGGGATATGAATTGTGTGTGTGTGTGTGTAATTATATATATGTTCATAGGAGAGAGAGAGAGCTGAGTTTGGCTTTATGCAAAAGCGTGTTTTTTGGGAGATTCCTGTACATAACTACTGCTTATGCATGGACTGGTATGTCTGTGTTCTTCTCTTTGTCCCCCTGCACCAACAATCTTTCTTGTTCATTTCTTCAATCATAGCACATGTTCTCTACTGGCATTCTAATGCACTCACCGATAAAAACTCCACATATTATTACTACCTCCTGTGGTGAATATAAGAACTATTTAACTGTCTGGTAAAAAAAAAAAAAGAACTATTTAACTGATCTGAATAGTTTGAGTAGGTTAAATTGTTTTTTTGTAATAAATATAAGTTGATTTTCCTAAAGTATATTTTTTTTTAAACTTATAACTGCCATTAGATGGAATTGTTAATATGTGCAATTAATAGGGACACTTCAGAAAACACAAACTAAATCGAGATTTTATATTTAGGACCCAACTTTTATATTAAGGACTTCAAGAGGTAGTATTATCATTTTTTAACTACTTTATAATAATTCATTTTTACGAATATAGATGATGCCTATTATGTTTGTATTACTTTTTATCCTTAATATAAAACTTAGTTAACTAATTTGAGTAGATTAAGAAAATTAATTAAATTATTTATTTGTAATAAATTGATGTCTTTCCTAAAATATATTTACTAATTATGTGTATTAGTTAAAAATATTATTTGATGAAATTTTTAACATGTACAATTACTGCAAAAATTATCTTAAAAAAAAAAAATATGAGAGATAAAATGAATTAGAATTTGTTCAACTGAATCTTATAATAAAAATGAAAAGAAGTTACTTTTCTTTTCACGCACTTTTCTACTGCTATCCCTAGTTCTTCAGTCCCTTGGCTACACGATCCGCCTGATAAAGCAGGACTACACTAGTGAGTCCTAAATGTCCTATGTCTCCATCCTATCCACACCAAAAATGGGAGATGTTTCTCGAGTTGTAATTGCAAAATATTTGTCTTGTCCTTGATATAAAACTTATTTAAATAATTTAATTAGATTAAAAAAATTAGGTAGGTGAGTTAATTATAAAAATGTAATATGCTTTTCTTAAATTACGATAATCATCTTCTTTAATATATTTTTTACTTAATTATAGTTGATAAAGTATTCATAAAGATAATTTAGAAAAATTGATAAATATAAGAAATAAGTTTTATATTTAGGATCAAAATCAACTTAATAATTAGGTCATATATTAAGGACCAGGGTACTTCTCTCTGCTTTTTTTTTTTGGTTAAAATTGCAAAATACTTCTCCCTCCCTCTCTCGATTTTTTTTTTGGGGGTTATAATTGCAAAATACTTCTGGAAGCTTTGAATTGTAATGAAAAATAGCATATCTTCGTCGGCCACATAAAAGTTTCGTGACTTTTTGCGACTAGTATTACTTCACTTTAATCGTCAATATTTTATAATAAAATAGATTAATTTGTAGATTTGGGGACCTCAAAAATAAAAAATAAAATTCATATTTGATTCTGTAATTTTTTTAAACTTTTTATAAGGTCTAAGTTTTATCTCTCAATGCCAGAATTTTATTGACATTTTTTTATTAAGAAAATCAATAGTGTTAAAACTATAGAACTGAAAATATAAAATTAAAAAATCAAAATAAAACTTTATATAAAATTAAGAGAAACTAAAAAATCAAAGTAAAACCTTATGCAAAATTAAAAGACAAATTATGCATTTTTACCAAAAAGAATTAAAAAAGAAAAAAGGCATACATTTACATTAAAATTACTATGAATTTCATTTTTAAATTATTTATATATAATTATAAATGTTGATACTCCTAATAAGAGTTTTTGCCCCTAGTTCAAAACATAATGCTACATTCTAAAATTTAATTCTTATGACCAAAAAAATAGATAATATTCGAAGGAAAAACATTAAAAACAGTTTGACCTACGAGAAAATTTTAATGTTTTAAAATCTTCTCTGATAAGTAGGGACAAGGTTATCATCCTTGTCGCAGAACCCCAAACAATTGAAATAAGATAAGAACGGAATTGAATTTCAATTTCGTCCCAAACCAGGCATGCAACCCCCTTCCGAGATCAATGATCACGAACTAGAGTTCCATCTTCTACATGGCATCCGCTCTGTTCCAAAGCAATTTGGAAAAACCCACCTCCATCAATACTGGAACTCACACAAGGGGGAGCAAACTGCAGAATAACATCTCTCACTGTGATCAGTCGTATAACTTCTTCATTTTCATTGACCAGAAAGGTGAATCTGCTATTCTTTTCTGTCATATGCTTCATCAATTGCTTGAGTGTGTCACTCTTCTTGTTGGTCAATGGCGAGTCCATCTTAGGTACACATTTCTTCTTCAGGTGGAGATTTCTTGCGACCATTGAAGTCCCATAACCAATTTCAGAGCTTGTCTCAGTTTCGTCAGGCTCTGAGTGGATGAACTCTTCAGCAGTTAATTTCCTGTTTTTTCCCCGCATAAAACAAGCATCAGTCTTGTGTTGGTTTTCACTGAAAGCAACTCTTTTCAGCGAACCCAAAAGGACACGTGTATCCAAGACCCTTTTATTACTAACTATCTATTCCCCGCTTATTACTTGACGTCTTGACCACATCAAGGGGCTAATGTCAAGAATTCAAATGTGTCCATTAACTTTACAGACTTTGAGCCAATCTGGTTTCTCTTTTATTGAAGAAACATGACGGTGCTACTTACAATCTTGACCCTCCAAATACGAGAGTCAGGATTTTTTTTTTTTTTTGTTTTGTTTGGGCGCTTTTTTTATGGGTGTGCGACAAAAAGGTATAATGACGGGAAAAAAAACAATAGAGAATCTATATGAGGTTTTGAGCTTACTTTATATTTCTAAAGAGATCATCATTTTCCACAAGATGATAGATATCTATGTTCCTGACACAACCAATAAGCTTCTTACTTTGTCGATCTACAACAGCAACTGTCCAGGCTCGGGTTTCCCAGAGAATGTGTAAAGCATCAGCAACAGTTTGGTCCCCAAATACAAAACTAGCATGTTCTTGTGCTTCCAATCTGCGAAGGCATGAAGCGAGGTTAAAGGACTACATGTATAATACAGATAGAAAATAGATACATGTACTGTTAAGAAATGTAAGGGCTTAATACTTGAGATCTGACAAGGCCTTGTCTGCAATATTGTCAAACCACTCTAGTCCGCTTGATTCAAGAAGCAATTGAACTAAAGCATTCTAGCACAAAGGCAACCATGTCACCCATTCTGCATCTATAAACATCAAAACAAATATATCCATTCATACATTTATGATTTGCTCCTAGAGTAATTTCTGATCATTACTTGTACAAGTAGCCATAAAGCTCAGAAAAATGGGTTTCTTGATGGATCCTACTGCCAGAAACACACTCTTTAGCAAGTTTCATACATATATTAGGATTTCTCTTGGCTTCTATCCAAATAAGCTGAATATGACATCCTTGAGCCAGTTTCGTTCTACACCAACAGGATATTGTTTAAACTTTTATTTCACGTCAAACTTGGTAGATACCTGAGTAACTAAACCAATGACTTGGGGATCTGAATGCTGTATCACTGGCAAAACCCGCAGCGGATGCTTGGAAAGAAGCAGCAGCGCATGAAGAAGTGTATCATCCAAATGTACAGGGAAAAATGGTTCCCAAACGAATGGCTTGGCTAACTCACCGACCTATTAAGAATGGAGTAGAACAGAGAATTACACATAATTCAAAAGCTGATCACACACGGAGATAATGCTGAGGACGAACCAACAAGTAATTTCACTTCCAATCATCCAAGTAAAATCTTCTAAAAGAGGGAAAATTAAGGAATAGAGAGAAAAGTGGAGGGGAACCTTGGTGTGTCCAATCTGAGGAATCTGGTCCAGAGTGGAGAAAAGGCCGCCGTCTCTTTCCTTTTCAAGACCGTTGTTCTTGAAATTTTGCCTGAAACTTTCATATTCCTAAACAAAAATGAAAAGATTTTTCTTTTATTAGAATGCCTTGCCATCTGCCAGGATAGATGGGGGGAGATTGCCGGTGTGACTTGTGACTTATGGGGGCTTGGATATCCAAGAATCAAAGAAGATGAACTAAAATATTATTGCCATTCCTTAGTTTTGCATGAAACTTTATTTTTACCGTTAAGTAGTTGAGTTTCATTAGTTGGAATATCGTCTTTTATCTTCCCCATGTTTCCCTCAGACATCATTTTATGAGAATCACTTGCAGATTATCTACACTCGTAAGATGTCACATCAAACAATTCCACGCCTAATGTCGTGAGAATCATTAACAGATTAAATACACTTGTAATGTCACATCAAAGAATTCCACAGTTCTCGTGGGCAAATATCCACAAATCAACAAAACTATATAAGATAAAAAGACGAAATATGAATCAATCAATTCATATAAAATAAAAGCTTAAGAATAGAAAAAGGATATATCGACCAAATAAATACTTAATATTATACCTCAATACACCACAGGACCATGGTTGAGAAATCAAGGAAACCGATATACCGATAAGAAAATTCCATGCGGGGTGCATTGGGGTCCAGGACATCAGCCATAGGTGCTCCAAAGAGGTCATTTTCGTACAGCATGCGAATCGCATCCTTTACAGTGTCCCCAGCTTTCAATTCTAAAGCTTAAGAAATAAAGACACGGAGATGGAATGACAAAAAGAATGGTCAGATGCTCAGAAATTCAACGAGGTATGGTTCTGAAACAAAGGAAAATCAACGGAAAACGATCGTAGTACCGAATGAGCTTTGGATGCCAGAAACCGAACTAAGGGGAATGCGATCGAGAAATTGTTGAAGAGCAGAGCCAGAATCGACCTGCGATTGCTCATCGCTGTTGTTGAGGGTGGCTGCATTTTCTGAGGCGGGCTTCGTTCTGTCCAATATTTCCTGCATGATGTTTGATTCCGATTGAACTCACATTCTCTATTTCAGTTTGTCCAAATTCGTTTTCGCCGTCAGTACTCACCGCCATCTCAGGCGATTGACTCTAGCACGAATCCACAAACTTGTTCTACGTGTTTTCCTTATGCTGATCCAGGAGTTAGCCACGCGGCATTACCGCTTTGACGCCAACTGCCAAGTTCCTCAATTTTTTCGTGCAACTTCACTGTGTTCACCATTTCCCCAATAAATGAAAAATTGGAGTGGCAAATTTATAATTCTTTATTTCTTAAAATAAACATGTATAACATTATGTGTGTATATATGAATTTATGAGTTAAGTAAATTAATTTTAAAAATAATAAATATGAAAAATAAAATAGATTGAAATTTTATTATTTAAGATCAAACCTAATAGCCAAGAGAGATTAAAATTTATTATAAAATGCATGAATTCTTGTATTCTCTTTTTTTTCAATAAATATAATTAATACTACTTCTGGTCCTTAATATAAGAGCTAGTTGACTAATTTGAGTAGATTAAAAAAATAGTTAAATTAGTTATTTACAATAAATTTGTGTTGTCTTTCTAAAATATTTTTACTAATTAAATGTGTTGACCAAACTACCATTATTACAAAAACTATTTTGAAAAAAATAAATAAATATGAGAGATAAAAAGATTAGGATCTATTCAAATAAAAATCAAACAACTCTTATATTAAAGTCCGGAGGTAATACTACCTCTTCTCCTTAATATAAGAGCTAGTTAACTAATTTGAGTAAATTAAAAAAATTAGTTAAGTTAGTTATTTGCAATAAATAGCTGTTGTTTTTCCTAAAATATCCTGCCAATCAAGTATAGTGACTAAATTACCATTATTACAAGAACAACCTTAAAAAAAATAGATAACTATAAGAGACAAAATGGATTAAAATTTTATATTTAGAAATAAAATAAAATTAAACAAATTCTTATATTAAGGATCAGAGGTAGTAACTTTTTTTTAAGCATCATATTGTAATTATGGCAAGAACGACCTACATTGTAGCTTGGGAGCAGGTGCCCTGCGAAGATATTTCCATTTTACTTAATATGTACCACCTCCGATTCTTAATATAAGAACTAGTTAACTTTAAATAGATTAAAAAAGTCTGTTGAGTTACTTATTTGTAATAAATATGCGTTACCTTTTCTAAAATACCTTTGCTAATCATATGTATTAACTAGAATTATCATTTGATGGAACATTTAACATATGTAATTACTACAAGAATTGCTTTGAAAAAAATAGATAAATATAAGAGAGAGTGAATTGAACTCTTATATTTAGGATCAAATTAAAAGTCAAACTAACTTTTATAATAAAAACTGAAGTTAGTATTTTGTTTTTTTTAATCAAAATGTATTTTGTTTAATTTATATATAGAATATATTAATAAGCCCTAATATAAACTAATATATTAGTTTTTAATGTAAGATTAATTTGAAAGTTGATGTGTATCCTATATGCAAGACATATTTCATACATTCATCAATTTTTTTAAAATAATACTATTGATATTCCTTCAACAATAATAAAATATAAGAAGGAAGGAAACTAAGAAAAATAGTTAGAGTATTTCAACAAAAAACATATCATATTAACTAATTTAACTAACATTTTTAATTTATTTTAGGTGTCAGAGTTCATGACGGAGGAGCATAACGATATTCTTACTCTCTGGGCAGTTGAGATTCCGATCTCTCAACTCCATACTAACCAGCTGCTCTCAACCTCAAGTTCACTACATTTTGATACAGAGAATTTGTGAAAGGGGAAGTGCTTCCTTTTATTAACGTTCATGGATCTTCACATCACACCTTATTTTAACTGTTTTTTTTTTTTTTTTTACATGTAGTAGAGCAGGTTCTATTTTACATCTACCAAAATGGCTGCTGCTCCTTGCTCCTGCTTCCTTCACTGCGCGCAGGCACACAGAGAGAGAGAGAGAGAGGGGGGGGGGACACTGGAAACTGCTAGCCCTGTGTCTCCTCACAGTGCAAGTGTTCTTCGGTATCTTTCCCAGAATCTCTTGACAACTCTCACTCCAGCTGGTGAGATTAACATAGCCACCATTCATATCACAGTGCCGTCTTCTATTGTGGCCTTCTCCAAGATCACAGTGATCCCTGATCGAATGCAAAATCCATCATTTGCTCTATCTGCTTCCTGAACCCCATCTTTATTCATGATCACCACATCTTTCCCGATCCTCACATTCTTGTCAATTATACAGTTACTGAAACAGCAACACTTGTTTCAATGTAAGAACTTTTTTTTTTTTTTGAATTAGAGGAGCACGCACCAATAGAACGGGGTTGAACCCGTGACTTCTCATTTCCATAGGAGTTTTCACATCATTAGGTTATAACGGGCAATACAAGAACTTTGAAGGTCACACTCAATGAGTGACATGATAGTGTGCATCTGTGTCTGAGGATTGAGTAAAGATTATTACCTGATTTTGGAATTGCTCCCAATCCCAATTGGGACCTTCCCTTCTGCTAGCAGAGAAGCGATTTCCGATTCAGTTTGGTAGTGGTCTGCTCCCATCATTACAGTGTCCTGCAAAAAAAGATTTTGGATAGGAGGTATCTCATATGGTGTGGTCTACCCTCTAAAACCCAAAGTCTACATAGTTATGAAAGTTTATTTACCAGGAGCTCAACACCATAATCCAAACGAGAACGTTCACCCACAATGGAGTGCCGGATCGTACATTCTCGAAGGAAACATCCATGAGAGATAATTGCATCCACAATCTACAAGACTCAATGATGAGAAACAAGACATGCTAATAAGTTAATAATATAATTTTAAGCTAAATTACCAAGTCATCTTACCTGACACTTGTCAATCTTCGTTGGCGGCAGGAAACGAGGAGATGTGAAAATTGGTGTTTTGGGATCATAAAATTCAAACTTTGGATTCTGCAGGAGAGAAAGGATAGAGCAAGTATTAGTTTCCTTCAAATGAGCAAGGACACTATCAACAGTTCTGGCAATCAATTGAAATAAGAGATTTACTGTGATTAAGCCTATAAAGTACAAGAAAATTGCTCAAAGCACAAACCAACCAGCCCTACATTTCAAAGAAACCAATATGGCTCTTTTGGGTATAGACATTTAGTAAGCTATATTCTTAGTGTTGAAAGTAAAACAAGAGAGGATAAAGCATCTATGATTTGTAGTTTAATCGATGCAAGGCTGGTATATTAATATACAGGGAAGACAAATAATAAAACGAAAATGTGCCAACCAGAATATCTGGAACCAACCTCTTCAGTAAGAGCAAGGTTAGCATTGTGAAAGGACTTTATCGTTCCAATGTCTTCCCAGTAGTCTCTGAAGAAATATGACTGCAAAAGCAACAGGCAAATGAGCGGTATAAGTGACGTGTTACATGCATAAGTAAAACACAAAAAAGAAAAGGGGGAGGAAAAAAAAGCCTAAACCCCCATATATGCATGGCTGGCTAAGTGAATATGCATAAGAACATTGCACAGAGCAAAGGGTATTCAGCTTGAGATAAATCAAAATTAAGATTTAATATTAGACAAGAGAAACATTTTAAAGAGGAATCTATTTTGGAATTTGTCTTACTTGGACATTGTGTTCCCTCACAGCTGCAGGAATGATTTCAGATCCAAAGTCATTGGACGTAGGATATCGCCATTTCAAAAGCTTGAGCAAAACATCTGTCTTAAATACATAAACCCCCATGGATGCTATATATGGTGACTCTGATGCATCTTGGTGTGACAACCCGATAAAAGAGGTATCTACGTGCTGGAGAGAATATTACAAGACGTGACTAAGTCAACATATGTTACGATGTTGCTATAAAGCCATAATGTAAAATGCTTGGCAACTTCAATTTTGCATAAAGATCACACAATAATATAAGGAATAATTGAGGTAGCTTTGGGGTTTGATTGGTAAAGGGAGCTCTGTTTTCAATCGAGTTCTTCTTAACCTGTTAAGTTCATCAGTTTTGAATAAACAGATGAAGCTGTGCTAAGATTTTGGCAAAAAAAAAAAAAAAAAAGCTGCTCTAAGATATTCATTCCCAGAAGTGTGGGAAAAAGACTACATTGAAACTGAAAATGGTAATTTATCTTAGCTTCGTGCTAGTGACCAACTTCAAAAGAACCATCTGGAAAACAAGACAACTGATATAAGGTGATCATTTTATGTAGGATAATAGTTACCATTGCTTTTAAATCGGCACCCTTTGGTTTTTCCAAAAATTGGGTGATGCGGCCTCTGCCATCCACCTTGACCAATCCATAATCTGAGGCGCGACTGAAAAGCAAGCAATTGGCAAATGTCAATAAATCTTACGTAATAATACATTTGAATAGATTCATTTCTTTTCATACTTTTCATCCTCCTCTTCCAACATTTTTCCTTTTGAATAAAGTACGCAGGTAATTTAAGTTAAAATAAGTAACATAGTTATAAGTTCATTTTCTTGCAGCATCACATGTCATAGTTAAAATCAAGCAGCAGACTTGTTGACTAGACCAGACACATCAAAAAAAGATTGAACACACCTGTCACCCACTGGCACGCATGAAATTGTAATATCAGCATTTCTGTCAACATGGCTCTGTTTATTTGCAACAGATAAATCAGAGGAACGATGTCATTGAAAGGAAGGATTAATTTACTGCGATAAATAATTATACTGCATACCTGCACAAGGTCCATGTAATCCATTCTATATAGATGATCTCCTGCCAAGATCAATACATTCTCAACGTTCGTGTTCTTGACATCCTACAAAAATTAACCAACAATAATCCCATTTGAGAATAAAGAAGCTCATGCTGTATATACAACAAAGAAGGTATACACTGAGTTTGTAGTCCACCTCAAAAACCCATGTAAATTGTCTCACAGCATCTGCAGTCCCTTGGAACCACTTCTTCCCTGCTTCACCAGGTGTCTGAGTGGCTGCTAGAACCTGTTTGGCATTTGAGTTAGCTTTCAATCATCATGAGTAAGAACTTCCGCCAGAAATAGTTGTGGGTGAACAATTTAGCTCCCCACCAAAAGAAATTTGGAAGACGCCTCATACTTCTGTATCAAGTACAGCAAGCAAACAGGAAACAGAATCTTGAAGACTACTTATGATTATTTCAGTGTGAGCAAAAGATTCAGTTCTCTTTTATACACAGTTAATGACAATTTTAAGTCATGTTTATAAATCTCGTGTGTGAAATCATCTGAGCATATGATAGACTACAACAGTTTCTCTCCATCCTTGATACTTACCTCCACAAATCCATCCCCGAAGCTGACACCGTTTCCAAAGTAGGTGCGTGAGATATGACGGTTCAGGGGTGCAGAATTGAATTGGGTGAGAACAAAGATTTTGTTAATGCCGCTGTTGATACAGTTGCTCATTGGGATGTCTATGAGCTTGTAGCATCCACCAACAGGTACCTGAAGATGCATAAGGTATCATCATAACACAAGAACTCCAAAATTTGACCCGCTAAAGATCTCGGTCTTCCAACGTTAAACTCGGTATCAGTGGGCTCATACTTAAAAGTCTAGTTTTGTTTCAAGTTGATCCATGAAACATGATACTAAAAGGTTCTTTGAAGAATGAAATTAGAAGTAGCAAAGCAAAAAAATTTTGAAGAGCCTGAATTCATCTTCAGTGAGAAGCTATAAACTATGTAACATATTCACTTACAGCAGGTGTTGCAGCTCGTTTGGTGAGAGGCAAGAGATGTGTTCCAGGTCCTCCGCCCAATATGATGGAAATTACATTTTTGGGGTCAGCCTTTCGTCTCAGAAATGAAGGAACCTGTAAGGTCTGGTAGTCAACCTGGCATTAAGACGAACACAACCAGTTACACCTAAACGAAGCAGCCACAAAAAGAAAGAATGAAAGAAAGGAAAACCAATGAGAGTTAAACTTACCAGAGATTCTTTGGTCTCATTTGATGTAAGAACAGCAGAAACAACGCCGGGTTTGATCTTCTTCACCCTCTTCTCGTGTCTCAAACGTGAAGTCGACTGATTTACAAAGGGACTGATGCAATTCGGGTTCTTGACTTTTTCTCCAAAAAACCCATTATCCTGGCGAAAGAAATCGCCCTTCATTGCATTTGGTAAATGAGCATTGGCTTTCAAGGTCAAACATGAGGAAGCCATTGCCCAAAAGAAGAAGTGAATCAACCGCAAGCACTGGAAACAAACAGATAACTCAAATCCCACAAACTTGAAAGTCCAACCAAAAGGAAACTAAGTAAACATCCAGATACTAACGCTTCTCGAATATTCAAAGTGCAGTTACAGAATAATGCAAATCAAGAAGATAAAGTTGGAAATATAAAACAAATCCTTACCCTTTACTCAGAAGTTCCTGAAAGAAGAGATATTTCAAGCTGAGAATATAATGGGGATCCAGAGAAGCGGTCAGAGCTCAGCGAGATTATGGAAAATCGAGATTATAGGGGATGGAATTGAAAAGTCGGGGGCACAACTCAACAATTGAGTGTGAAATGCGATCAAGTGGGGTTTAAGGCAGTGGAAGCCATTCTCGGCATGTGAGTGATCACGAGAGACGAAAAAGGTGGCGAAAATCACACGTATTTGGTATAAATCAATATCAAATACCAAATTTCCAAAAGCAATAATGTAGCAAGAACCATTATATAGTATAATGGTACATGGCTTGCATTTCCCAGAGTCCGAGTTTCTAGGCTCCTTTTATACTACAAATGAAGCATCATGGAGCAACCTGTCAATTTCAAGAACTAGTCGTCCATGAAATCAAATATCGAATATTGGGAAACAAAGCATTAATATGATTTTCTACGGCTGTTATTTACTTGAATTCACAATTAAGAAAATTTATTCATTATTCAATGCCACTGTGGTCGGATATTTGCAGCCACTTGGTGCATATTCTGGTCATAATGACCGCAGATGGTGACAGCACAGCATGATTGACCTTAAAAGACGATATCGGTTTGGTTTTCATTACTATGATGATACGGTGGCTGGGAATTTGATTTGTGGGTCAATAAGATTTTTACAGATTTAAAAGCTTCTTTAATGATGTTTAAGTCAGTTTATGAGAAGAAAGGATTAATTGTTATGATGTAATTTGAGGAGCAAACGGGGGAAAAAGCCAAGATGCAAGTGCCAAGTGAGGCAAATTGATCTTACTTTATATTATTAATAATGGGAATTGGATTGAACGGTGAGAGATTTAAGTATCTCTTTTAATAAAATTTTGAGTTCAAATTTTTTGATTTTATAAAAAAAATAATAAAGCTTCCTAGTTGAAGTTAACTTACCTTAAATTTGGATTAAGTGGCCTGATTTAGTAAAGCTATATAAGTAATGGAATGGATCTTTAAGCTTGTGTAATGGTTAGATGAGTAATTAGGAAGGAAAATAATTAGATGGTAAGGAATATTCAAAATGCAGCCAATCAATGGTTATTCAGCGGGATTAATTAAATTTAGAGCATCAAATTAGGTAGTCAAAAAATTGTAGAGCGTCAAGGGGAAAAATTTTCTCTTTATTTAAATACATAAGTTTAAAAAGTTGTATATTTTGGAGTAAATTGTTGGCTTGATTTATCATTTCATCTTTTAAATAGAATAAGAAACAAAATATCAAAAGATCTTTGTTTAGCTAGAGAAATGCCCCCATTGCTAATGTCCCTTCAGATGATTTTGGAATTACATGTATCTCAGAGAATCAATTGAAAACAAAAAAAGCAGGGAAAATGTGATAGGGGTTTCGTCTCAATATATTATTAAGGAATTCAGTTTTCTTAATTTTGGTTGAAGACGGTGATAACTATTTATCTGGTGAAATAGTTATATAATAATTTTTATTAAAATAAAACAAATAACTAATTTTTAATTAAATGAAATAAATATCAAATTTTTAAAAATCCCGTTAAATATTTTAAAAGAAATACGTGCGGTTGTTTTTAATTTTAATGTATATATTTATTATATTTTAATTAAATAAAAGGAAAAGTGCAATAAAGTCCCACCTGAAACTGATAATATGGGTTGAGGCCTGTGAGTCAGTCAACCAACCCATCATAAAAAAGAAGATTAAGTTGGCGTTTTGTCAGCCCGCCAACTAAGGTGTAGGTTACTTTAGTTTGTATTGCATAACTTGCAGCCCGTGACAGGCTAGCCCACAGTTAGCTGGTTGGCCTACCTAACCTACCATTTTTTTTTAATTTTTTATATAAATAATATGTTATTATTTTTGAAAATTTTCTTTCCTCATTTGCATTTCAATTTTCATGTTACATGTCTAAACAAAAAATATTAAAAAAATAAGCATACTATATTTATGACAAAAATTTAACAATTACAATCAAATATAAGATAATATTTATTATGACAAAAAAATTTTTTAGAAAAAATGGTGAATGAACTTTTAAAAAAAATTAGATAGATGTACTTCTAATTTATTAAGAGGTGGTTTTTGTATCAAACATGGTATTGGTATGATTGTAAAATTTATCACTTGATGAGTTGATGTTGAATGTTAATCACGTAAAATATTTATAATGTCTTGTTTTATATTTGTATTGACTATTTTAAGTATGGTTAAATGTAATTTATACTTGTGATTGCTTTTAAAATTTTGTATCACCATTTATTAATTTAAAAAATTAAACAAAAAATAAGGTTTAAAAATTAAGAATTAAAAAAAAAAAAGATGGCTTGCCAACCCATTATGGTGGGTTAGGATTGGCATTTTTTCAACCCACCAAAATATGGGCTACTCCAACCCGCGCCACATAACCAGCAAGTTGTGGTGGACTAGCCGTATTCCCAGCTCTACACCTAAGAGAAGTAAATATAAAAAGGTCTTATGAAATCATCAAATTAATTTAAAGTCCTAAGTTACATTATTGCAAGAGATTCTATTTGTTTAATTATCAAATTACCCTTGTTTTTTTTTAAAGTATGCATTGACAATTAAAAGTACAGCTATTAACAACTTAAAGTGTAACGATTAATAACTATCGCGGCAGATACTGACAACTCATGCATTACATTTTTGTGATACGCTGAGAAAATATATTATTAATACCTGTCGTGATAATTGTTACTCGTTATACTTTAAGTTGTTAATGATTGCTCTTTCAGTTGTCAATGCATACTCACAAAAAAATAAAAACAATTTGATAATTAAACAAATAAAATATCTTGCAATGAATCCCTTGAAACTAAGAATAATTTGATAATTTAAAAAAATTTGTATTTAATCTTTTTGAGTGGTATCTTTTTTTTTTTGTACATAAATTTTTGGAAAGGGGTTGAGCTCACCCACGATCTAAGGGCAGGGCGAAATCTCCCTTCCTCCTAGGTCATACCAATGTTGGGCAGGGCGAGCCGTCAATTACTCTCAGGCGTTTACCTAGGCACCTAGGAGCTAGAATGCCTCTCCAAGTATCGCGACTAGAACCACAACAAAGCGGTACTCCCCAGGGATCGAATACATGCCAACTTGGCCATATGTCTTACCCCTTCACTAGCTGAACCCACGGATGATGGGTTTTTGAGTGGTATCTTGTTGCAATTTTTTCTTAAATAAATATAAACAAGTAAGCACATGCTGGGTCGATGAATTCTTTAGAGGGGCCCGCTAAAACAATGTCCAAACGAGTAGACTCTTCCAAGGCAAAGAGCCGTCAAAAGATTTCATTTCCTTTTGGGGGGTAGTCTTTTTTTTTTTCACCAGAATTTCGGGGGCACATAGCATGTTAATTATGAACGTTAATTAATAAAATAATAAGTGAGAACAATACACCCCGAAAACGGACGGTTCTCCATATGGCAGGAAGAGTGGGACCCACACACCATTTGTCCTCATCAGTGGGCCCATGTGGCCCACCATCATATCTTTGTTTGTGGATCGTATGCGTTGCAGTCGAGATTGGGCCCATGTGACCTCTGGGGATATCCTATCATTTTTTCTTTTGGACCAGCATGGGGATATCCTATCATTATAGTTTCCTTTTGGCCAAAATTTAATAAATATAGTTCAATTTAATTTAACATGTTTGGCATTTTTCAATTGAAAGATACGGCATCAAATAATCCAACCATGTACATATTTGAAAAATTTATGGATCATTATATAATTTATGGGCCAACATGAAGCCCCTTGATCACGACCTTCAACGGCCAGTATGTAGAGATATTTTCATGAAGATTTACACGTTTTGTATACATACTTTCAAACTTTCAATTAATTAATGTAAGTATTATTATGTTTCTTTTTTTTATAGAAAAAAGATATAAAATATAAAATAACATATCAATAATTAATTTTTAAAAAAATAGCATTTTATACTAAAAACCTAATTGTCAAAATCAAATTTAGATTATCAACACACGCATATATTCCTACATGAAATACTATATTTGCTACTTAATATAAGAGTTACTTATCTGGTCTTATTCATAAGTTACTTTCAACATGTTTCACACAAATTAAAAAAAACCTTAAACTTCATTAATTTTCATTTAAAATTCAATAACTTTTCAACTTTATCCTTATTTACTATACATTATACCTCATATAAACAAACTCAACATAATAATAAATAAAAGGTAAAATTGTACATCTATACAAAAAAAATTTTCAATGCCCATCAAAAAATATTTTCTCTCTCTACTATATAAATAGGACCAAAGGAGTATATAACTAATTTGGAGAGGTTAAAAAAATTAGTTAAGTTAATTATTTGTAACGAATGCTTATTGACTTTCCTAAGTTATCTTATTTAATGCATGTACATTGAAATTGCTTAGCGGAAACTCCTTGCAATTAATATGAATATTTTTTTAAAAAAGTATTATAAATTTAGGAGATAAAATGAATTAAAATATTGTATTTAGATTCGAACTCAACTTTCAATTAACTTTTATATTTATAATAGCAGATAGTATAAAAGTTAGAGATGAAGTTTTGTTGTATCATTTTAATGGCATGACATGCTTCACTTTTCCTTTCAATTCTTAACATAAAAGTTAGTTAACCAATTTGAATAAATTAAAAAATTAGTTACTTTAGTTACTTATAAAAAATACTCCCCCGGTCCTTAATATAATACTCATTTAACTAATTTAATTAGATTAAAAAAGTTAGATAAGTTAATTAATTATAAGAAAAGTGACATATTTTTCCTAAAACACCATAATCATCTTTCTTAATACTTCATATTCATTTTCTACTTGATTATGGTTGAAGGAGTATCCATAAGGGTAATTTAGAGGAAATTGATAAATATAAGAAATGGGTCTTATATTTAGGACCAAAATCAACTTAGGAATTAGGTCCTATATTAAGGACCGGAGGAGTAAGTGTTTTCTTCTTTAAAATATCTTACTAATCATGTGTATTAATTAGAACTATTATTTGATAAAACTTTAATTTGTCTAATTACTATAAAAATACTTTTAAAAAATAAATAAATATGAAAGACAAAATAAATTAAAATCTTATATTTAAAATTAAATTAAATATTAAATTAGTTTTTATATTAATAAAAGATATTATTTTGGTTTGTTTCCTCTTTTTTATTGTTTTGGACCAGCTGGTTTGTTTCCTCCTATTGGAGTGTTTGGATAGAAACTAAACCATGGTTTCAAAAGTGCTTTTACGGATTACGAAGTAAATATGTGGAGG